CCCTTACTGACATTGAAGATGCACTATTTGCATTCAGCCTTGATGACTATACATCTGGCCTAACTCCTGATGATTGGCAAGTCAAGCGGGCGGCACATCTGATCGTGCAGATTTTAAATTATAAAGAATCGATTGATAGGTAAGATTTTCTATAAAAAAAAAAAAGACTGTACAGACTCGAAGAAAGAATTTGACAAAATGCTGAGCTTATGAGTAAAATCACAATAACAGTGTCTATTTCCGACTTGTTTGGTGACCGTTCATTCCCACCTAATTTTTGACTAAAAAAATTTCCATTCAGCGAACGCCTTCCACCCGACGTAACTCGTCTTTATCCACTTTGCATGTACCAATATACACGATGCTATGGTGTTACCCGCATCCCACAGCATAATTGCGATGCACTTGTTCATACTCCACATCCAGCAATTGCAAAGCATATCTTAATAATAGTCAGGGATCAGTTTTATGTTATCGATGTTTATGATGGAAACGGACGTCGATTGGCTGCGGGTGATATTGAATTGTAAGTATGGTGGGGAAGGATCCGTGAGAGAGTATTAATTAACTGGAGTGTGGGTTGAATGTACGTATACGATAATGACAATGAGAGAAGAGGGGGGAGAACGGGAGTAATGCCGAATGAATTTTGATCATACATATTCAGTCAATTACAGCGGATCATTGAAGATGTTAAGAAAGCAGAGTTGGATCCCCCCGTCAGTGTATTGACTGGTGACCATAGAGATTCCTGGACTGTGGTATGTATCCAGTTATTGGTTACTTTTTTGGTTGTTTGTGAATCTAAACCTGTTTACTTCCGACAGGCTCGAGAACACTTGCTGAGTATACCTCAAAACCGTGCTACCCTTACTGACATTGAAGATGCACTATTTGCATTCAGCCTTGATGACTATACATCTGGCCTAACTCCTGATGATTGGAACAAGAATGCGTTTCATGGTCTGAATGGACATAATAGATGGTTTGATAAGGCAATGTCGTTTGTCATTGAAAATAACGGACGGGCTTCGCTCAATGGAGAGGTATTGAAAATGTTTTTGTAGGCGGGGGCTATCAACAAGGGTTTCCGCTACTACTCGTCCAACGTATCACACTTATCGAGTTTGAATCTACCTCCTTCCCCTCCCAAAGCATTCACCGTGTGATGCTTTAATTCCTTCTATAATTGTAGATAACATTTTGAAAGAAGCAATGCCTTCTACTCTACAAAAATCAGGTTCCGAAATTCCTCTACCGAGAAGAATCCGATTTGTCACTGACGATCGGATATTGAAAGACATTGCAGCGGCGCAGGAAAGAGTAGATAAAATTATTGCAGATTCCGACGCCGTATTATTACATTTCAAGGAATATGGAACACATTTTATGAAGACTGTTGGTATGATGTGTATAAATGGCTTACGAATGGTCTTTTCATTAACGGGTTTAACACTTTGATTAATGAATTGACTTTACTCACACACACGTTCTTTTTATCCTACAAGCCAAGGTGGCCCCTGATGCCTACATGCAAATGGTCCTCCAGTTGGCTTATTACAAACTCCATGGCAAAGTGGTTCCTACGTACGAGACAGGATCGACCAGGCAATTTCTACACGGGCGAACCGAAACTATAAGGACTCTAAGCAACGAGAGTAAAGCTTGGGTCGAAGCAATGGAGAATAATTCGCTGAGTGTAAGAACCATGACAAAAGTGTTTTTTTTCCCCAGTAGGATTTATCTCCTTTACATTGACATATCTATACGTGACGTTTATACACAATCTTTTTCTTTTCTAGTCAAAGGATAAATATAACAAGTTTCAAGTAGCAACTAAAGCACATTCGCAATACACGCGAGATGCATCAAACGGAAAAGGATGCGATAGACATCTCCTTGGATTAAGGTGTTGTCTAAAGGAAGGTGAATCACACCCGTTGTTTACTGACCCGATATTTGCCGGCTCTCAAGTATGGTTGTTGAGTACCAGTGGATTGAGTGCTGGAGATCGATTTACCGGTGAGCAGAACGTTTTGTAATCAAGTATTGGAGTTTTGGGCGAGGAAAACGAGAAGCGGAATAGGAAGAGCGAAAGAGGGAAATGTAACAACAAATTATTTAATTTTCTTTTCGTAGGTACCGGATTTGGTTGTGTATACCCCAATGGCTATGGTATAAACTACCTTCCAGGGAACGTGCTGCTGAAATTTGGAATTGAGTCAAAGAAATCTTCAACAGAAACGGATTCAAACGCATTCCGTCAATCTGTAGTAAATGCTCTACACGACATGAGACAGATGTGTGAAGACGTGAATGGAAAGTACGATATTTCTACCGCTAGATTGTGAGGAATGAACAAGCGATTAGGAACATCGTTTATGAAAAGAATATCAAATAATGTATACAAATGCGTCGAACATGATTTATTATTTATTTGACCCCGGGAGTGGTTTTATTTCGAGAGATGTTGGAGCATCTTTGTCTGCCGTGCGTTTTTCGTGTCCCAAGACGACTGAATGGCATATAACAGAGGTCATGTGTATGAGTTATAACAAAAATACAGCCGTGTGCTATCAACTGCTTGTCATCTCCAATATTGATCTGTTGTTGTTACCTCTTTTGTATAACACAACCGATGAAGCAATGAGGAATGGTATTGCGACGATTACCGTAGTTATTCTGTTCAAAGAGTGTGAATGTTACAAAAGTAATCTATCTTGAACGATTGCTACATAAAGTTTGAATTGACCTTCTTTTGGCAAGATTGTATTTGAGTTGTTTCTGAGAATCCATTACGATAATTTTAAAAGAACAGTTTGGCGAATGTGACACGTGAACTGATCGAGTGCGATAATTTTTATGCTGTGCAACCCAAATCTGTCTAGGATAGAAGTTAAATGAACTTTTCTTTGTGACGCCCGGTATGCTGTGCTGCTAACTTTATCGTTTAAGATAATAAAAATGGCAGTTGAATCTACACTTGTCTATGAACATTAATATGACCAAGTTATTTTAGACCGGTATTTGCGATTCTAATCCAGTCATCGAGGGGTAGTATCAGAGTGTTGTAAAAGTAAGGCATAAAAACGGGTCTTTAGTTCCTTCGTTTCTCTGAATAACAGCGAGCTGTGTAGGTTCAAGAATGTATCTAGATATTTGCTATATGTAACGTAAACACGCGCACAAACCGAATATTTTATTATATCAAACAAACAAACAAACAATCGACAATTAAATTATCACATCGCTAATGACATCGAAATACAAATCGTTTCTACGCATTCATTTTTACTTCTCAAAGCCTAGCTCCGCCATCGATTCTGACTTGCGTTGCGTTCATATAAGTATTCTGGATCAAGTGGATTATTAATTCGGCAACCTCTGTTAAAATGGGAAACATGTCAACGACGGGAGTAAAATTCGATCAACACAACAAAACTGTTTAGCCCATTACGAACCTTTTGGTTTGCCCGGTCGTTTGGGAAATTCAATTCTCTTCATAATACCTTGCACCACTTTTTCAGGCAACTGTGCGGCCATCGGAGTTTCTAACGACAGCAGAGAGGAGGTAAACATGTTAGATCTCGTCAGTAAGTAAAATTTGCAGGACACAACAGCTGCAACATACCACATAGTCCAGGCGCTACCGACAGAACACGTATGCCGAATCGTGCCAGATCTCTAGCCATAGGGACTGTCATACTAGTAACACCACCTTTAGAAGCTGAATAAGGTACTTGCCCCATCTGACCCTCCTCCGACGCAGTCGAGGATATGTGAACAATGACGCCGCGTTCGCCTATTAATATGCGACTGTCTATGGTCAGCAATATTGAATAATGCGCCCGTATAAAGAGATTCTTAAATATCTAGTTATTCTTCACCATCTTTGTCCGGCTGCTGCTTAACCATCTGGGATGCGACTAGTCTCGACACATTGAACGTTCCAATCTGCCATTAATAAAGGTGTAAATATATATATGTGTGTGCATGCAATGTGATAGTTTTCAACTTTAAAATACAAACCAGATTAACATTAACAACATATTTGAACATCTCTAAATCGGCTGGCGTGCCATCAGATTTAACAGTCTAACGTCAAAAATATTCAGTCAACACTTGCTTTGAAAACTTGGCACGGCGCATGGCTCATCTCGATGTCCTATATACGCACCATGTCTGCAATAGCTAGACCACCCGCGTTGACTAATCCACCGATCGTATTTCCAAATTTATCCACTCCTGCCTTTATTGCTTTCGTAATTTTTTCCTGTAATTTGTGTCATGGTGTTAAGTTTTCTTATGGCCACATTATATCTGACAAAATCACCATCAATACTACCTCAGAAGTTACGTCTGCACTAACATAGAGAACTTTATTCTCATTCGTCAAAGCTTTTACAGGCTTTTCCTTCAAATCGATGATCTATATATACTCTGGTCAATCAAAGAATCCATTGTTCGCTTCCAAATCACTTTTGATGTATCCACCATTACACTCACAACAACATTCGCTCCGTGTTGGAGCAACTCTTCCACTATAGCAAGACCGAGTCCACTAGCCCTAGTAATGAAAGCAGACAATTGTAAATCAGGCTTGCATAATCGCATTCGGTTGCAAATCTTCGGTGAGAAACTTACCCACCCGTAACGAAGAAAGTTTTATCTTTAACAAGCATATCTGATCTGAGGAAAAGAAAAAAACAAGAAGTTTTGTCACCATTTATTTGTAAGTTTCTGATCTGTGTAACAAGCCATTCCATGAGATGTGCGAAAGATTGCGATATTACAATAATCATATGGGAGAGACCTCGTACTACCCACATGGTGTAGAAAAAGATCGTACGTCTTGTAATGCCTGCTGCCGTCAATATCGGGTTTTCCTCAAGGTATGTCTTTGCTGTTATCAAGCTTTGCTCTGATCATTAACCGGACGGATCATCCGACAATCATTATGCCATAATAATAAAGATCATTATCTCGAGATATTCCCATAATAGTGATCATTACTAATCAGCAGATCATCCTGCACACCCAATATACATGTTATTTTAAAGTTGTAAATTTTACCATACGTGCAAGTAACTATTATTGTTTGCATACACTTATTATAGTCAATAATCCCGACACTTTTTCCCAACACCTAGTCATCTGTGTTCTGAATGGCCACTCCATATGCAGAATATGCTGTACGATCATAAAGTCGGAAAAAAGTGTTGGAAAAAAGTGTCGGGAATTATAGACAATAATCATACACTTTGAATCTTACCTCATAATATTAATATAATAATATTATTGCGCGCAGTCGATTAAGTTCAGTGGTTAACTAACTATCTTTATCGTATATGCATCATGCACTAAAAGCTTAAGAACGTTTTATTTCAAGACATTGTATGTATCACTGTCGTAAAGAAGAATAGTATAACATGCCTGATTGAATAACGTTTATTCTCACAAGAACCTGGGACCGATGCCAAGAACAGTGTAAATTCTCTCCAAAGCAATGATCAAAACATTCTATAAACAGCATTGACTAATTCTAAACATGGATTCGTAAGTTGTTTATCAAATCATTAGACAAAACAAAAGATGTTTGAAGGCAATAATAGAACAGCGAGCGACAGTACACTACTGTCCTATCATTTCTAAATAAAATTTTCTGCCACCGCTAAATTGAAAACTTGATTTCTGCAGGGTCCGCATTTTAGGTTGACAAGTTGTAGTATGTCGCACCATCTTAAGGTTAAGGCTTAAAGTGAATTTGCATCATCCTCA